GCCCCGAGCACCGCCGGCGCCGCGGCCACCACAAGGGGCCGGGCCCTGCCCTGTCCTGTCCTGCCGAGCCGCCAGGCCGCATAGGGGCGCTGCAGGCACGGGTGCCGCTCTGCCCCCTGGCGGCCGGGGCGGCCTTGCCCCGCACTTGGCGGAACCAGCCCCAGCCCCAATGCCCGCCCTCCCGCCTCTCCCTCCCTCCCTCCCTCCCTCCCTTCCCTCCCTCCGCCTCACCCCCGGAGTCCACTCGCTCGCTCTCAGTACCCACTTTACTTTCTAGCAGAAGCTCCTCCAGGCTGCACTCTCCGCCCTCGCGCCGTGGCTCGGCTTGGCTCCCCTCTCCTCTCGTCTCGTCTCTCCCGCCGCGCCGGGCGCGGTCGGCGGAGCCCCAACCTCCACCATGAGCACGGCGCCGGGCGCGCTGTATGACGTCACGGCGCCAGCTGACCGCTCGCCCCCGGAAGTGATGCGGGGCTCCGCAGGCTGGCCGGGATCGCGGCGGTGAGTGACCGGCGGCGCGGCTCTGCCCTGCGGGGACGCGGCGGGACCCGCGCTCTGCCCCTCGGCGGCCCTTCGGCCGTCGCCGCCGCCCCCTGACGGCGGGGCGTCTCTCGTTTGCGCGGGCGGCGGCCGCCGCCGGGCCCGGCCGGGAGCCACAGCCTCGCCCGGAGCTGCCGCGCGGGCGGTCCTTGCGGAGCCGCGGAGCCTCGGGGCGAGCCGGGGGCTCGAGCGGGGCCGGGCGGGGCCGAGCCACCGGCGGGGGCTGCCGCGTTCCGTCCGAGCCGCCCTCGGTAGCGGCCCCGGGCCGGGCAACGCGGCCGCCTCGCTCGGGAGGTTTCCGCGGTCCGGGCCCCAGCGCTGGAGGTGAGCCGCGGAGTTCTCGGGGGCAAAGCGGAGCTCCAGGAAGGCGTGCGGTGCTTGGCCTGGAAGGCAGGCAGTTCTCTGCTGTCTGAACACACCGCCTTTGTAGAGCGGTTCCTCTCTCCGTTCGCCTTTCGGTGCAGCTATGAGCTCCTTACCGGGCCGTGCCTGCTGCGCTGCCCCGGCGGCTCATGGGCCTGCAGCTGGGCGGTCCGCACTGCTGGGGAGCGCTGCTGAGAAGTACAAACCGTTCCTGTCGGTGCTGGAAAGAGCTGTTTGTTTCTGATCTTTTAAACAGTTAATGCTGCCGATGTGCCATCCTTCAAAATGTTTCACTGATAACTGGAGCCCAAGTACTTATGTACAGCATTAATCCACAGCTGTAAGTTCACTTCAAACGATACCATCCATAGTATAATTAGAGGGGAAAGCAGGTGAAGCACTCGAAGAGCTGAGCTGTAGACCCAAAGCACAGAACGGGCCGGTGGATCCTGAAATATCTGTCAGGCCTCTGTGTTGGGCAGCAGTCCTTGTGTGCTGTTTCCTTCTTGGGGGAGCCATTAGTCAGAAGGCATCTCTTGTAAGCACACTCTGATTGTTGGCCTGGGAGCCTCTTCATTTAACAGTTGATGTGAGACTGAGATCTTAGTGTTTTGTTGGGCTAGCAATGGAGAGAGGGAACATCCGAGGGCTGCTGTTCTTTAAGTGCATCTGCACTCTGCTTTGTTTTTTCCTGCTCTGAGGAGCTCCTCTGAAGGAGGAATGGTTCTGTGTGAGAGTGGAGAGGTCTGGCTTCGCCTTCTTGTCAATTCCAGGGTTTGTCTTAAATCTTACGCCTCCCCTGCACATGTGCTAATGGTGTGTGGGAAGGCCTTACAGCCCTTTATGTGGAAGGCGACATACAACCTGAAGCAAAGACTTTCTGCACATCAGCAGGAAAAGGAGAACTTGTGATCTGCATGGAATTAGTTCAAGTTAGCAGAACTGGCATTACAAATTTGCTGCAAGCATCTTCTCTTGCAAGGATTCCTGAAATTCTGATCATTTTCTAAAATCAAGTTCTATGCAGGCACAAGTTAGATCTTTAAATAATTTGACAAAACTGTTAATGGCAGAGTACGCAGCTCAGTGTGATGCTTTGAAACTGCTTTCCTCTTGAGACTGATAACCTGTGGTATGATCCATTGTCTGCTGAGTTAGGTGCCTTCCTTGCCTGCTCTCTTACTTTGTTTTGGAGTTGCCCATTGCCATATTCATAGACAATTTTGCTTCACTTGTTCTTATTGACCTTGGAAATTCATTCATAATTATATCTTTTAACTTGCATGGATAACACAATAGGAGAGGATGGTCAGATGAACTGAAATGCTGATTTTTGAGGCAAAACCCAGAACAGCTCTTTTGAAAGTCATTAGTTAAAATTAGTTAAAGAGGTATGTACTGAGGAAGAGAAGCCACCAGTCCGTTTGACTGACTTCTAAGACAGAGGGGTTTGTTGTGATGGAATTGCATGTGGATGAGGGTGAGGCTCCATCCCACTGATTTCTTTGCTTCTACATTAAGATAGGGGAGAAAATCCTATATCGTGTGTGCATGTGTACTGGGGCAGGGCAAAGTAAAGCGGGGAAAAATGGCAGTGGAAGAACAGGGAATGGCCATGACTATTCTAAACCTTCAGACCTTGTAAACTTACATTTATTCACACCAGAAAATGATGTGTGCCTGTGAGTCTGTGTTGAGTACCCCAGTACTGCTCAGAATGCTGATGTAGAGCCTTGGGGCACTGCAAAAATGTTTGGGGCTTTGGCTGTTTGTGAAAAGTTGGAAGATGCAGAACCAGGGTCTTTGTCCCATCAGGCACACTGGTCTGTAGAAATAAAGGTAACAGGAAAGCTTGTTGGAGTAAGAAGGAATTGTAAAATTAAAGGTATGTGATGTTAGAAAAATAGTACTTTCTATTGTGCTCATCCTTAAAAATAAAAGAGGAGCTGAAGATTTCTAGCCAGTATTTTGGGAGACTGGAAGCTCAATCTGTAATGCTCAAGGGACTTGCTAGGCATGAGATAAGAGCAGACCCTTATCCCCTCCGTGGGGATTCCCTGGCTGGGCTCCTCCGCTCCAGCTCTTTCTCCCTGGGGGTCTGTGTCTTGTCTCACCGGTTAGCTCACTGTCTTCCTTTCCTTACCAGCCCCTGTTTGGTAGGCTTTGTCTTCTGGTTACTGGACATCTCATAATTCCTTTTCTCTTTCCCCTCCCTCCTTCTGAAAATACTAGGTTAATTGGCTCTAGTGTTTTGCAGGCTATCTGCCTGGGTGACACAGAATAATTGTATCCCTGACTCTAACTTAGTCAGTAGTAATGACGAAGTAACTAGACTGGAAACAATGGTAATTTTGTGGCAACTTGCCTTCTGGCCTCCTGCAATAAACCCTATATAACACTGCTGGACTGCCCATGCCAGTATTGTTATTGTTATGATACCGTGGGATGTCTCAGACGTGTTGTTTGAGACACCCAGCCTCTCCTGCATTACTTGTTAACTGCAGTTTGAGTCGGGTAATTGCTGACCTGGGCTGCAGCCTTTCAGAGAGTGAGAGGGAGACCCCAGACTTGGAGATGTGCTCGTGTTGTTTGCTTCCACCTCATCTTCACCTTTTCTCATGACATCCAGAGATTGTCCCTGTCACCAGGAGCTTGGCTGTGATGGTTCTATGTTCTGCTCTCTGTTGTAACCAGACCAGAAGAAATACTGGGGGAAAAAGGTCAGTCAAGGCTGCTTGCCTAGCAGTTAGCTTGAGAACCAACCCTTTTGGAGTCGGTAGGTCTGCGTTTTATCTGTCCTGGAGGACAGTGCTCCTGTCAACTGATGTGTTATTGAAGTGGAAGCAGGAGGTTGGTGGGTCAGGGGCTGCTTAGTTGTTTGTATTAAAGAGCTCTTTTGTAGAGGTTGTAATAGTGTAGGCAAACAAAGACAGGAGTGCTGAAGAGAGTAAGCTGAGATGATCTTCTGGTGTCTCGGAAGGAAAGTTAGAAATGCGGTTCTGTCTGGGACATCTGCTTTGTGAAAAACAAAACTTAGAAAAATGTGAGACTGCTAATACTGACCTTCTGTTGCAGATCTTTATTGCCAGAAAGCCAGGCTGCTGAAGACAGTGTGACAATTTGTTGTCTCACTTCTCCTTTTTAGTAACCGTGTTCTTTAAAAAAAACAAAACAATTCAAAGGATTTTTGTGCTCTTGAAAAATACCGCTCTTATTTCTGCATCCAAGTAGTAGCAGACTGTGGCAAATTGTCAGCTCTTACTCTAATTTTTTTCCTAGCGTAATATGAGTTCTCCTTTTTGCAGTTTTGAAACACTTATTGCTTCAGTGTTAGCCTTTTGTTTGGAAAATTAAGAGGGAGACAAATCATCCTAGCACCAAATGGATATGGGGGGCATGTGTAGCTGAGTGAAGCTTAGGCCTGTAAATCTAGATGTCCCAGAACTTGGCCATGTGCTGGTTATTCAATATTTTCATTACAAGTGGGTCTATATGGAGATCCTCAAATACTCTGCATTAGCGCTCAAATGGGTGGTCCAGAAATGCTACGGGTCTGATACACAACGCATACTGCCTGTTAGGGAGTTAGGGAGTGTACATGTTGTGAGACACAGGGACAGATACCCACACAACTTACCAGGTTTCTGAAACAAACAGCAAGTGAGTGAAATCAAGGATAGGTGAAAATTCATCTACAAAGCATGGTGGCTGAAGCTGCCACCAGGCTGGCAAGGGGGAGCTGATGCTCTGTGTTATAACTGGTAATGTAAGTCAGAGGGCTCAGAGGGTCTGCTTAGATGTTCTTGCTGCAGTTAGCATCTGCACACTGTGTAAAGAACTGGTGCTGTGCACTGTGATGGGCAACTCATTAGAGAGAGCTGAGGTCTCTGCAGGTGACTTTGTGTATCTTCTGCTTCAAAAATGGCAGTCAGAGTTTTAAAAATCCAAGTGCAGGCTCTTAAAATGCTATAAGGTTTCTGTTTGCTTTTAAGCCTTTCCACTTTGTACAATGCCTTGTACATAACTTGGTGTTTATTCCAATATTTACATGGCTGGGTGCTCCTGCAGTTCCTGCACAGCTGCATGAAGCAAGTGATTAGGTCGGCTGGCAGACTTCACTGAGATGGGTGGCAGAGCCTCTTGTGAGCATCTGATGCCACAGGTGATGTCAGGAGGCAGTCTGGCTCCCGCCCCATGCTGCTGGGTGCTGCTGGGCACCTGCGTGGTGCTATTGGCTGATCCGAGCTGTGCTGGAGGTGGTACACCACTAACCAGAGCTGCTGCGAGGGCTTTCTGGTTTTGCGGGATTAGTGTAGCTTTCTGAATTGCTGGGAGCAGGGAGAAATATGGAGTTATGAACTTGTTACCTCAGTTTTAAGCATAACTAATTGGCACAGAAATCACTGACAATCCACTTTAATCCTGTTCTGCTGTACAGAAGCAATGGAAGTACCTCCATTTCTTCTGGGTGAAATCTGCTAGTCAAACTCAGAGCACTGCAAAATCCACACACACCCGGCCCGGTCTGTAGACCGAGGCTGTTTTTCTGAGTCACTCTGGTTTGGCTGTAGGATAGTTGCGGATTTCTGTACTTTATGGAGTTGCCTGAGACAAATTAAGGTACGTATTTGCAGCGCAGCACTCAAATGCTCAGAGCCTGGTGTGTCTGTGTCAGGCATCTGAGAATCGTGGTTTCTGCAGGTATTCTGATCGGCACGTTTGCTGAAGTGGTGTGAAACAGTTGTGTCTCAGCATATAGAGTAGCTCTGCCCCTGGCATATACTGCTTTTGTTGTGAATAGCACATACTGAAGTGCTGGAGATCTATTATGTTGTGCAAAAGTTACAGTGAACCCTGGAAAAGTGATGAAGGAATTGATTATACATCTTGCATGTGAAGGGGAGAGGGGAAAGGCTGACAGCTGTAACGAGATGGAGATGAGCTGCGTGGTGACTGAGTCTTTATTTCATAAAACTGGTGGATTCAAACACACCCAGGGTTTGAGTGTTGAAGTGTGTACTGGATGAGAAATGGCTTTGAATCCAGCCTGGTTCTGGGTTCAGCTTTACTGAAATTGATGGTGTCATCTAGAATGGCTGCATCCTCTGTCTGTCATATTTCCCCTCTGTTTTGCTTGTAGCGTAAACAAATTTCTCAAAGCAAGTACTTTTGCTCTGTCAATTAGTTCATTAACTTATTTATGTTACAGAACCACCAGAAGATACCTTTCTACCATTGTGCATTAGTTAGCTAACCAGACTTGGGTTTATCCTGTGAAAATACAATCATCCTAGCAAATCTTTCTATCCACCTAATAAATTAGGATGAAGCACATATTGGGAAAAGATTTAAAGCTTCTTGATGGGGCTGAGTATGTAGGGTATTGCGTGGTTAGAGAATGCAAAATAGAGGGAGGGATTCAGGCGTGATGTGCTGGAAAAGCTGTTTAAACAATGTGCCTTCTGTGAGCAGAAGTCACGGTGCTCAGGGATAGGCTTTGCCCCAGGTGGGGTTGGGCACAGTCCCAGTGCTGGAGCTCATGGGAGGCCACTTTCAGCCATAGCGTTTGGGTGGTGCTGTGTGGGGCTGGGGCTCAGTGATCCCCGTGAGTGCCCTCCAGCTCAGGACATTGTGTGACTGTGTGATATCACAGAATCCTTAGAGTTAGAGGGGACCTTTAAAGGCCATCTGATCCATCTGCCTGCCATGAGCAGGGACACGCACAGCTCCATCAGGTGCTCTGAGCCCACCCAGCCCCGCCTTGGCTGTCTCCAGCCATGAAGCATCCACCACCCTCACTGTAATAGTGAGGGCCTCACCACCCTCACTGTAACAGACTTCTTCCTTATGTCCAACCTAAACCTCCCTGTTGAAGTTTGAAGCCATTTCCCTTGCTCTGTCACCACAGACCCTGCTGAAGAGGGGTCCCCTTCTCTCCTCTTGCTCCCCTTTAGACACTGAAGGCCATTCTCAGGTCTCCTCAGAGCCTTCTCTTCTCCACCTGCACAGCCCCAACTCTTTCAGCCTGTAGGTGCTTCAGTCGTAGGTGAGGTGTTTTATTCCTTGGAGCATTTTTGTGGATCTCCTCTGGACGTGCTTCAACAACTCCTTGTCTCTCCTGTACTGAGTACTCTCCCTATCTGGGTGCAGTGCTCCAGGTGAGGCCTCACAGTGCAGAGCAGAGGGGCAGGAGCACCTCCCTTGACCTGCTGGCCATGCTGCTTTGGATGCAGCCCAGGACACGGTTGGCTTTCTGGACTGTGAGGGCACATTGCTGGCTCATGTCTTGCTGCCATCCATCAATACATCCAGATCCTTTTCAGCAGGGCTGTGCTCTATCCTGTCATTCCCCAGCTTGTGTTGGTAGTGGATGTTGCCTCGACCCACGTGCAGACCCTGCACTTAGCTTTGAACCTCATGAGGTTCACCTGGGCCCACTGCTCAGCCTGTCTGAGTCCCTCTGGATGGCGTGGGCCCCCCCCCCCCCGGTGTGTCAACCACAGCCCTGTGAGACACTGTGACCGCTCTGGTTTGGTTCCTGGCACTCAGAGCTGGCCCTTGACCTGCTGCCAGGTGTCAGTCAACCTATCTGGTCCTGCACTGCCCACCTGCATGCCTTGCTTCCACTCCGAGGCAGATGTATTTTGTTGAGGCAAACTGTGTCCTAGTTGTTTGGGTTCCTTGAATATTGCAGTTTGATTCCAAAAAGTAAGGCTAACCAGAATGTTTTGTTATCCTGATGTGAAACAGGTCAGCAGAGTTCCCATTCTTCTTTTCATTGGTCATGAGCTGACTCTAGTTCACTGAAAAATGTTGAAGCAGGAAACCTGACAAACTTGCAGTTCACTGTTAACCAATTACAGCAGAGCTTTCTTGCTTTTACACTGCATCTAAGTAATGAAGAAGTAATTCTGCATGAATGCATATCTTCAGTAGAGATGTGGAGCTGTGCTGCAGCCCCCACTAGTGTGTACTTGTTTAGGACTGTGCGAGCTGTTCTCTGAGCTGGGGAGAACCCACAGCATTTCTGCGGTGTTCCAGAGAGCCCAAGCCACAGTGGGCAGGCAGACACGGATGCAAAAAACACAAGGGAGTAGATCAGGGTCCCAACAATCCTGAGGTGTGCTTCTTTTGCTCCCTTATTTTCCCCAGGGACTGCCATCTGGGTTCACTAACGAACACTGGGGTCTGCTCAGAGCAGCTGCAGTCTGAAGCTCCTGGTGTCACCAGGGAGGTGCTTTGCATTGTGGTGTCCAGCTGTGCCTCTTCGTTGTGCCCCAAAGTCTGAGTTAAAACCCTTGCCCTGGAGAGCTGGACTCTTGCTTTCAACTTGGAATGCATGCTGGCTGCCAGTGTGTGATATAGTCCACTAGAAACTGAGGTTTGGTGGATCATAGGCTTTTGAAAGAGTCCTTATCTGTTTGGGGAGCAGTTTGTTGTGTGAAGTTGCCATGCTAATGCTTTTTTTTTTATTTTTTTTTTTTTTTTTTTTTTGAATGGAGACTGCAAGATATTGCCTCTCCACTATTTCCACGGGTTCCTGGGGGAGCAAGGCTGCAGGGCTCCCTGTTCTGCCTCCCCTTTGTTCCCCAAGTGAATGTAAGAACAATTACTTAGCTGAGAGGCAGGCAAAATAAATGAACAGAGAGGTGGCAGCTGTTGAATTTTGTGGAATTTTGGGAAGCTGTGGTCCGATAGAAACCCAGACTGGTGCCTGCACTGCACACGGCAGGAGTGGTGGCACAGGAATGGGGGTCTGTACAGCATGACATGTTGAGAACGCAGTCTGAACAACCCTCTGGGAGGACTGGATCTATGGTATGTAAGGTGAGCTTTGGAGGCAGAGGACGCATGTCTACAGACATGCAGGCTTTTTGGAATATCAGCTTCAAAAATTGTCTAAAAGTGTTTCAGTGAGGGTGCATTTTTGCTCTGTGGGTATATATGACAGTCAAAAGTAGTGCCTGACAGTTCCTGGCTTTCTCAAAGTGTTTTGGATGCCTGCTTCCATGGACTTACATTTTTTAGAATAGCCTTGATCTAATGTATATCGTATTCTTGTTTGCTCAGCACCATCTGTGTAAGGGACTTCTGTTTGAAGAAATCTCGCTTTATCTGGAGAATGGCACATGTGAGAACGTGTTTTATGGCTATCTTTCTACATCCATCCTCTACTTTCTACTGAGAAAACAATGGGACAAGCTAATTTTCCAACTAGATTCCTCACAACCAGGTCTCATGTAAAAAGTAACCATGCAGAAAAGCAGCTTTTGATCTCCTGCCTGCTCCTTAATTGCACTAACGGTGACAATGAGATATTTCAGTGTTTGCACGGTTAAGCAGAGGAGCTGCCACAGCTTTCTTGTTTATTTTTTCTCTACATCAGCTCTGAACAGAAGTGATGACAAGGAGCTGCAGGTGCAGCACTTGCTGTACAAAGCAGACGTGCCTTTGTCTATCCTTATCTTGAAAGAGCTTCTCAGTTATCCTGGTAAAGTTGGGAATTGAAAAGAAATGAGGCTGAGTCAACTTGGCTGAACATGGAAAAACAAACATGAAAAAACAAACATGGAAAAGAATGTGCTAGAGAAGGAAAAAAAAAAGAGAATTAATTTCTAGACCCAGATTATGTACTAGGGAGCAACTGTCTGATATTCACAGATTAAACAGTGGCTTAGCTAACGTGCATTGATAGTGGTAGCACGGAATGACTTAAGCTAGAAGGGGCTGCAGAGATCAGCCGGTTCCAACCCCCGTCCCTCTGCGCAGGGCTGCTCTCTGTGAGCTCTTCTCCCAGTCTGCACACACCTGGCGCTGCCCCGACCCGAGCACAGCACCCCGCACTGCGCCTCGCTCGGCCTCAGCAGGTTCTCGTGTGCCCCTTCTCCAGCCTGTCCAGGTCCCGCTGGGTGCCGCCCTCCCTTCTGCTGTGCCATCGCAAACTGCTGAGGATGCGCTCAACGCCATCCTCCATTGGTGCCAGTGGTTGAAGAGCGCCGCTCCCAAGAGGGACCCTTGGGGGACGTTGCTTGTTGGCCTCCACCCGCACGCAGAGCCACTGAGCGCAGTGCTCTGGCTGTGAGCGCTGACCAGTTCCTTATCACTGAGCAGCACCTTCAGATCCAGCTCTGTTCGACACACAGACGAGGACGTGGCGCAGGACCGTACCGAAGGCCTCGTGTGGATCTGGGCAGGCGACACCAGGTGCCCTTCCTTTGGCCACTGATGCCAGGCTCCGTCGCAGAAGGCCACCGGACGGGTCAGGCGCCATCCTCTCTTGGTGAAGCCGTGCTGGCTGTCTCAGATCCCCGCTCATCCCTTACGTGCCTTGGCATCTCTTCCAGGAGGATCTGCTCCACAGTCTTCCCAGGCACAGAGGTGATGCTCACCAGCCTGTAGTTCCCCAGCTCCTCTTTCCTCCCTCTCTTGCTAATGAGTGATGGTTCCCTTTTTCCAGTCTCTGGGGACCTTGCTTGACAGCCATGACAACCCCATGTTAGTTTTGCCCTGAGGGCCTGAGATGAGGAATTAACTCTCCCCTGCTGAAAGCATTAAATTAGCCAGAAGTCTGTGTTTACTTTTAACAAATATTTGAACTTGTCCATTGTATTCAGTACTTGGTCTGTGCTTTCTATAATAATGCATAGTTAGTTAATGCTACTCAGTAAGTGAAAAAGTGAACCAATTTTATAAAGTCTCTTTTAACAAATGAGTTTGGACTACAGAAGTTTAAGTGCTACTGCACAGTTTAGTGCATTTTATGGTTTTCATTGTCTGTTTGAAATGTAAAGTTTTGTTTCAGCCCTTTTGTTTTACAGTGTTCCATGTGGATCCCAGAGGGCCTGCAGGTGGCTGTGAAAGCCAATGGAATGACTGCCTACATCATAGGAGTGATGTAAGTAGAAGTCTGCTTACAAGGTCGTGGCTGCAGTGTCAGCTGTTGGAACTGCAATTGCTTCTGGTTCAGCAGTTGCAGTGATCCTCTGGTGCCTCCCCTGTGGAGAGCATTGTGTGCCTGTTCAGAGTTGGAAATTGAGGGGGCACCCGTGATGCTGTTCCCTATGACCTGCTATGTTAGAAGTCGTGCCTCCTGCCCACAAAAGATAAATAATGCACTGTGAAATTCCGTACTGTGCTGGTGGCCTCTGTCTAACTGTTTGCAGGAAGCTGAGGCTGGGGTGAGGCTTGGTGAAGCTGGAGCCATTGTTTTTGCCTTGGCTGAAGAACTGCTTCTGGTTTACTGGCTGGGGGAGCTGTGTACCTTTTGATATATGGTGTCTTAAACTTGTTTATGAGGACTTCTTAAACTTTTATTCTTTTCCTATGTCATGGTATTTCCTGCTTTTTAAAATTCACTGTAAATACCTCGTGATGCAACACTTTATTAAACAGAGTAATGCGTGGCTGTATTTTGTTATTCTCTGGACGTAACCAATAATTTCTATTGCTGCAATGTTAGTCATTGGAGGAAAATAGTGGGTGTCTTAGATATCTCCTTTGCATGTTCTATTAACTTCCCCACTACAATTCAGGTGCTTTCAATTGAGCGTGGTGTTCTGTGTGCCAGTTATTGCCCAATCACTCTGTTGTTTACTCCCTTCAACTCTTGGTTTATGTGGGATCTTGTCACTTGAAAACACGAGATAAAAACGCACTGCTTTATAGGACTTGAAAAAAGAAAAACAAAACAAACCATTAACAGGGTCCTTCCAATCTTATGTAGTCTTCCTGTGTTACGTTCTGGGTAATATGGTCTACACATTCTTTGTTCTTAGAGGGTGGCTTTCCTTTAACTGGCTGCAGTCTTCCTGTGTTTCCAGCTGCTTTCTCTCCTCTAGAAGGAAATAGAGATGTCTTGCTAGGCAGTTTCTGTTGTGTGGAAGATGGGCATCATGGTGATTCATATTTACTGTAGGTTGTTACTCAGTGCTTGTCTGAGTAATCAGACTGCTCTGGGAGTACCATATCCTGTAGCACTGAGTGCGTCCAATTGTTAGTCCTGAGTTTTGGTCTTTTACTAGAATAGCAAAACTGGTGATCAGCGTCGTCTCTTCTGTCTCACTGTTAAGTTGTATAACCATCTTACAGTAATTTTGCTATTAAGTACTGATTCTTTTGGGAATTGATGCTTTGCTGCCAGCCCAGAGTAACCTTTGGGTCAGTTACGCAGGACACTTCTTATTTGAAGTTTCCATTCCAACTAGGAGAAATATACCCATACCTCCTTTTCTCCCTTCTCTGTCACTGACATGACTTAGGTGTGACATTTGCTTTGCTCTCCAGTTGAATAAGTAGCTCTGGCCACTGATCTGGGAACGCTTTCCTTATACTCACTGAGCATGGAGGTCAGCGCAGCTCCTTACGCTGCAACCAAACCCTTCCTCCATCCTCCATTAAGGAAAGCTCTGAATTCTTGCTTGTTTCCTTCTGAGGCTCTGGCTGCCATCATGGTTTGATGCTGAGTGATGTGGGAAGTGGAGGCAAGTAGTACATGAGGCGGATTGAGCACAGCTCAAGCATTCTATAAAGGAGCAGCTGAGAGCATGACTTGTCTCTTAGAAAACCAGTTGCACTGAGTAAATGCCAGTGGATGCAGTGCAGTTTATTATTATTTGTAGGAGGAAAATGAAGGGCGTGAGTGCTAAATTGTTTGTAAGAAATCACTGGAAGAGTAAGAATTGGACTTGGCATTTGAATTCTGATGAATGTAAAGAACAGAAGAAAGGCTGATATCTGGGAGTTCATGTGGAGTTTTGCTGTGGAGCAGCAAATTACACTGTCTGGTAATATCCTGAGAAAAGGAGTGGGGCAGACTGGAGAAGGCAGCGTTCCCTGAGTTTGTGGCAGCTCTGCAATTCATAGCTGTGAGCTGCTGAGGACCCATGAAATTCCTACAAATGATTTATGTGGAGATGCATATCTTAGTGAATCATTTGAGGTACAACTGAAGAAGAAATTATTCTTGAGTATGTTAGATTGCATTTCCCTTGCATATAGAAATCATGTCGTGGAGTTCCATCTTCAAAGCAATTTTAGGAGTTTGTTCCTCCTGCTATAATAATAATAAAAAATTACACCAATTCTGAGTGATGAATTGAAGAATTGTTAAGGCTCGTTTTGTCAGTGTGGATGGAATCCCAAGTGCTGCCTGCCCACAGAGCTGCAGCTGCACTGTTTGCCCCATGCAGGCACAGTGGTGGGAAGGATGTGTGTTCACAACTGCAGCGTGTGCTGCTGCTCTGACGTGGCTCCCAGCTTATAGCAGGAGGTTCCCTTTCTCCAGAGAAAGAGCACGGGAGGATGGCATGACATCTGTTTGCTTTCTTCATGTGTACTTCTCATCTCTTCTCATACTTGTTCTGTAAGCTGGAAGCAGTAACCAGAGCTATGAAGCAAACCCCATTTGTGTCTGAGGCTCCAACATGGAAGGAGGATTATGATGAGCAAATGCTTTCTGGTGATGCTCTAAGAAACAGACATGGTGGTGCTGGCAGGGCAGTGCCAGGCTGTCTGGTTACTTTTTATGGCATCATTTAAGATCTCTTCTCTGGGGGTGAAAAGTCCCTTCCAAGTATGGAACACATTAGCATTGGGGTTATGAAAATGAAATACAAGGAAATTGTTTTGGCGTTTTAATTTTTATTTTACCAACTGAAATGGGATTACTGCTACTTCTGTGTGCCTGGTCTGGGTCAGGTTTCCTTGTTGCTGGCCCTCCCTTACCTCCACCCAGTGTTTTGTTTCACTGTTTTGCGCTCTGTAATTAAAACGTGGGCAGACTTTAAAAACAAAACAAAACAAAAAAACATTTCCTTAAAAATATTTCTGGGTTAGAGTAGTCTGTCACGATGAAATCCGCACATGAATCAACCTCTTTGTAACCTATGTTGCCATAAAAATTTTAGGAATTTCCTTTATTAGGACCTGTTAATATACAGCAGCAACTGAGCGAGGTGAAGCAGCCTGGAATCGCACAAAGTTTCCAGCATACACTGACTTTCTGCACACTATTCCTTTTCAGCAAGCGAAACGGAAGTATCCTGAAGCCTGTCTCCTTCCGGTGAATGTTATCCCACGTGTAATGCTTGCAATGCTCTTTGTGGAGAAGCAGCTCTTTCACTCTGAAACTGTTTTCCAGGTTGGCAGACGGCCGCCAGCGGCATGGTGCGATGTGCTGAGGGGCGGCCGCGGGGCTGTGGCACGGCGAGGAGCTTCTCTGAATGAAGCCAGGCTCCCTGCACCATGGGCCAGTGTGTCACCAAGTGCAAGAATCCTTCGTCTACCCTCGGCAGCAAAAATGGGGAAAGGGAAACGGGCAGCAAGTCGCATAGCAAGAGAAGTGCTGTCCACAAAGATGAGCAGGCTTCAGCGTGTGGGAAGTCCTCGGGAGACGTACTTGTGAACGGGACAAAGAAAGCGGATGCTGCTCTGGAGTCCGGTCCTTCGGTATTTTCTGGGGATACAAAGAAAGACTCCGTCTCCAGCGCGGAAGAATCGTCCCTCCAAAGGATTGGAGAGTTATTTAGGAGATACAAGGATGAACGGGAAGATGCCATACTGGAGGAAGGAATGGAACGATTTTGCAATGACCTCTGTGTTGATCCCACTGAATTTAAAGTGCTAGTTCTGGCTTGGAAATTCCAGGCTGCTACTATGTGCAAATTTACAAGGTTAGTTCCTGCAGAATTTTAATTATTTTCATATGTTAAACTGTGTCCTATCATCTGTATCAGAGAGACAGCCTCATTAACTTCATGTAGGTATTTCTTCTAACAGTTGTGCTTCGGTGCAGTTCATTCCTGTGGCTGCAGAAGGTAAGCTTTGCATTGTCCTCTCCTGCTCACTCACATTAGGCTTCAGAACTGAAAATGTTTCTGGACATCACACTACTAATGATGAACAACATGGAGATGTTCTATAGACATTGGTTTGTTCTTGACTAACAAAACCAGTTTTTCTGTATCAGCACTGTCTTAAAGTTAAGATTTGACAAAGCAAATAACTTTTGCTTAAAAATAATGTGAGAGTCCTTAGTAGTTGCTGTCAACTCTGTTGTTACTTTCTGTCAAAAAGTGTAAAGCAAGCTCGTTGCTAAGAACTGTTTGTGCCCGACTGATGTTACACATAATGTCTTTCTCCAAGACTAGTCCTGTTAAAGCTTAGAGACGTGCTTCCGCAGTGACTGGTGTTGCAGGCTCTGCCTGTCCTGACAAGGCTGTCAGTTAGTGAGCTCATAGCATTTCCAGTGCTGCAGGAAATGACAGAATGGCTGAAACTCACCAGAAACCTACCCAGTCCACCACCAAAAATCCCCAAACCAAAACACCCTCCCCACACACTGAGTTCCCTACCAGTGTCCAGGTAAGAGCAAGCAGAGAGCTTTTATTGGAGTTTTTGGTCAGTTGAGATTGATTTGAGTAATTGTAACTATTTTTACTCAGCTTATAACATTTAAAATTACTTTGGTGTTCTGAGCCTTCAGCCAAGCCTCTGCTGTGCACTGAACACTGACAGCTTCCCCTGCCTCTGCAGCAGCCGTGTGGGTGTGGGAGTGTGCTGAATGCAAACGTGGATTTTCCAGGGGCTGAAGGAGAGCAGGGCTGTGCAGTATGGGAAAGGAGTTGTCGGTGTCTGATTCTGCACAACCAGTTTCACTGGACTGAATTCTGATTCTGCATAATCATTTTAATAATGATTTGATTTTCTGGGAGAGATGCAGATCCAGTGGTGAAAGATTACCTCTGCTCAGCAGTGTGTTCCATGATAGGGGCACAGGGGTGGCTTTGGCCGAAGAAGGGAAGGCAGTCTTCTGATCTCCTGCACTCTGCGCTCTTCTGTCTTCCCTCCACCCAATTCCACATCACAGTCTGTGGCGTGGTTGATACCAGCTGGTTGCTACACTGCAACACTTGCTCCTGATCATGAAACAAATCACAGTTAGCTACCTGTCCTCGTGGCAGGTCGTTGGTGTGCTTCCTGGAGCCCTGCTTTGAGCAGTGTCTGTGTGTTGCATTGTAGCCTGCGCCATGTGGTGTGGGGCACTCTGCTCGTGCCCTTGCTGACCATCACAGCTGGCACCGCTCTGCCTTTCAGTCTGGAAGAGCAGCGACACGTTGAAGGAAGGCCACCGCTCAATGGCTCCTCCTCGAGAGCAGCTTGTCCAGAGCATGGGCCCTCAGGCACAGGCAGTATCACATGGAGCTGCTCTGTATGTGGTGTCGTGGAGCAGCTGTGGTATTTTCCAGTGTGTTCAGCACTTCTCCTGTGGCTGATGTGGTTTGCTCTGTGTTGGTGAAAGGCTTGGGCTATGGGAGTACCGTGTATTGGGAAGGCCGTACTGCAGAGCTTTTCGGGTGCTTGCAGCGCCCCAGCTGGTCTGGCGTGTGTGCTGTGGGGGGGTTCCCCAGCCAGGAGGAACCTGGGTCAACGTCTTACCCAGAGCTCGGGGCTGGGGGCATCCACATGCTGCTGAGATCGCTCACTCTGACCTACTGAGGGAAGTGCTCGGTGCATGAGAAGTGTTCACACTAATTTTTCTTCTCTCGCTTAATAGGAAGGAGTTTTTTGAAGGCTGTAAAGCAATAAACGCAGACAGCATCGATGGCATTTGTGCACGGTTTCCCAGCCTCTTACACGAAGCCAAGCAGGAAGATAAATTCAAGGATCTCTACCGCTTCACCTTTCAGTTCGGCCTGGACTCTGAGGAAGGACAGAGGTCGCTGCATCGGGAAATAGCCATTGCCCTTTGGAAATTAGTCTTCACTCAAAACAAACCCCCCATTTTGGACCAGTGGTTGCACTTCCTAGTAGAGAACCCCTCAGGAATCAAGGGAATCTCCCGGGACACATGGAACATGTTTCTAAATTTTACTCAGGTGATCGGACCAGACCTTAGCAACTACAGCGAAGACGAGGCCTGGCCGAGTCTCTTTGATACCTTTGTGGAGTGGGAAATGGAGCGGAGGAAAAAGGAGGAAGAAACCAAATGTATTACATCTTCGGACACAGAGGGTCTGTGTGCAGAAGAACAGACTTAACAGCATTTAAGCGGCAGTGATGAAAGCAACCTGTTGCCCTTCATGAGATGTAAACTCTGGATGTTTCTGGAGGTTACCAAGGCTCCAGATTTCTTTTCTACTTTACACCTTTTTCTGCCTTGTATTCGAAAGGGCTCTAAAATGCTGTATCATGTTTTAGGCACTTTCTTAACTTTGGTTATTCCTTTTACTCTTACCCTGAAATATTTGACCCCGGCTACAAGTTAAGCATTTTTGTTAAGACTTCAGATTAGTATAAGTAAGTCTGATATTTCTTGCACAATGTAGATCTTTTTAGTTAGGTTAAATTAACATTGCTAAATTATACAGTGCCAGATTAAGTTTTTCATACTATGTCTGTCAGGGCAGGTCTGTACTGTGCGTAGTGCTGTTTACATTGTTGAAAATTTAGGCTATAATAATTTTAAGGTTTTATACCAAGAATATAGCAGTGTTAACTTGAAATGCATTAATCCCCTCCTAATAAGGCCCTTAAAAAACAACGACAACAAATCCAACAACATAAGCAACAGCTTTTTGTAATACGGCTCATTGCCACTTGAAGCTAACTCCTTGTGACCGAGTCAAATCATTCCTTTTTATTTTCAGTTTCAAACTAAATGTTGGGACTGTTTTTATAAAGTTACTGTACCTGTCAGTCAACTGAGTGGTAGATGAGGATTTGTATCGAAATCTCTGACACAACACGTAATAAAAGAGCAGTGCTACCTCAGTTTTATTGAAAGTGGACTTCTTGGTGGACTTCCATTTTCTTTGGAAGTTTATTTTTGTGGTTACAGGAGAATATTTTTACTTGACTAAAAGAACCAAAGGTTCTGCTTCTTAAATTTCTTAAATATTGACAGAAGCAACACACAAAGCCTGTCTTCAAGGAAAACTGCGGTATAATTCTGCTTTAATTTGTTTGATTTATACCTGAAGCATTATCTTACTTGTCTGGCAAGCACAGTACTTCTATGTGAGGAACCAGTTTTTTTAAAGCTATGCTTAATTGCTAAATTGCAGTTAATGCTCCACACTTTCTGGAGCAACAATATCGGCATCTGATGACAAAGTGAATTCGTAATGTGTTCTTAATGACAACAGTGTAGACGAGTCATTTTTAGACTGATTTGATAATATTTGGAAAGGAGTAAATTTAATATTTTACAATGCCTGTATTGGGACTATTTGCCTGTTGAAATTGTTGTGACTTAAAGGGAATTTTATTAACACTGGTTGAAGCTTTTTTTGGTTATTGATGTTAACTTTTTTAATTGTATTACGCCAACTTTTTTACACGTTTTGGTAAAAAGGGATAATTGCCAAGGCTTCCCATGAAGCCCAGTGTCAAACTCATGAAGCCAATACATGTACATCACACACCTTTTATTTTCAGAGCTGTACTTCAGGATCGTAAAATGGCTTCAGTGAAAAATCGAAAGCAACAAAAACCCTCAAAACTGAACGGTCATCTCTAGCATCTCACAGGTTTTGTGACAGTGTGTAAAAGCCGAACTTTCGGGGGTGAGCTTGTTATTGGGTCTGAGGTGCTGTACAGTGCATGTCTGCTGCTGAGCTAGTGGAGCGTTTGCCTGACTTCTGTGCTGGGCTCTGCTGATGCACAGCCTGCATGGCAGCTTGGGGCAGAATTCATACATCACTTACAATCCCTGGCTGTCTAAAACTGCTTAAAAACAAGCCCACGATGACTGATGGCATCTCCTCCTGTAACAGGAGGGTTTGGTCTGTGCTGCTTTGGCAAGCTCCTCTTGGGAGAGTGAAGCAGTGGGGAACAAATAGAGGCGTAGCTAAGCCTGTCCCTGGGCAGGAGGGGCCCTGCTCAGGGCGTTACAGGCAAATCTGCCCCAAAGGTGCCCTGCTGCTCTCATCTTCCATGCTGCCCTAACAGCACTGGCACATTTTGGCAGCAAAACTGTATTTTTGTTTGCTGAGCAAAGCAGGCATTTATGCTGTTAGAGTGGAATCGTTGAGACTTCTGCTGGTGCTCTTCTTTAAGCAAGAGAAAAGAGCTCTCCAGCAGAGGCCGCTTTGCTAGAGAAAGCCCCAGATGGAGGCCTGAGCTCATAGCAGATGAAGGCTATATGAAGTTTGGGACACTCGTTCAGCTGCTCAGTGCTCTCTTCATCGCTTCATTTGTTCCTAAAGGTAGTTCTAAAGTGTTCGGTGCATAAAAGCTGTGTTCACCCAGTGCAGGGTGCATCTGTGCACATACAGAGCTGGAGCAGTGACTGCTGCTTGTCTGCACAGTGAACTGCAGCAGCTCGAAAAGGGGGGGATTAGAGAGCTTTGTGGAACACATTTATCTGGTGGTGCGGAACATGGATTGCAGTAAGAAAATAAATTTGTAGTACATCAAGGCTTAGCCATTTCAGTGCATCAGACACAAGACAGCTTCTTTCTTTAGACAGCAGCATTGAGCATGCTGGAAGGAACAATATTTTCTCTGGGAGGCAGGCATGCAGCTGTCAGTGAATTCTGTCCTGTGCTTTCAGCGCACAAGGAAAACTGCCCACAGGTGGGCTTGGCAGAGTGCTGTTGGTTTCAGTCTGGCTTTGGTGCTTACGGGGCAGTTACAGGGTGCAAGCCAGACCTGTGTCTGCTGTAAATTCCTGCAGCAGGAGCTGTGGTTATGGGGCAGCTCTTCTATAGCAGTGCTGGTACTTGGTGCTCCTACCCCCAGCAGCACTGCCTTTCTGTGCCACTAGAGTGCTGCTTCAGATGCACTTCTGCAAAGTCTGCAGCAATATTGGGGCCTCTGAAAATGTGCTTGCCTAGTGGTTAAACTGTGAGTGCTTGTGGAAGAGGTGCAGTGCTTTCCATTCTCCATATAATCTGTCTTCAATGGCCACAGGACTGGATCGAGCAGTGATGCAGATCAAGTGGCCAAAACCATTGGATCTGTTTAGTTTTTTTTCTTAGAGTATGCATTAGAAATCTTAATGCATGAAGTGAATCTGCTGCAGCTTGGGATAACTACAGATAACTATACAGATCATTGTAGGAATTTACTGGGAATGTGATCTGTGGCATTTTATTGCCTTCGCTTATACACAAAGAAGTGCAACTTGTGCACTGGGCACTGTGCAGTGTTACTGCTGTGCCTTGGCAGCTTGGCTCAGTGGTGCCAGCTTCTCCTGCGGGTGTGATTTTGGGTCAAAGACTGTCAGTGGATTGATTCAAGTGCAGATTTGAAAGATTTCACCCAGAGTTGGCCATCAAACTTGATGAGTAACTTAATGGAAACTGAATGTGGAGCTGTGTGTTTATTTGCTGCTGGTGCTATTCTGTGTGGAGAATTACAGCCTTGTATTACTGTGCAATGGTACGGAGAGAACCCGAGGGAAAAGAGATGAGTGTGGCAGGTGGCATGGGACCTGCTGGGGTACGGGCTGCTGCAGGCTATGGGTTTGTCCCAACTGTTGCTGTGGCCATCAGAGCCCTGAGGCCCCCTGAGGTCCTGTCTCACCTTCTGCTTCTGTGCACCCGCTGCTGACATGAGCATCTTCCTTATGGTTCTAAGCCTTGTTTCCAAAAAATAACCCCAAACAAACAAGCAGAATTGAACACCATGTGGTTACTGTCTGCCTCGGATCTGACTCAGTGTGCTGGCTGAGGCTGTGCCGTTCCTACTCACTGTAAGAGAACAGGCACTGTGGAGGTCTGGGTCTTGCAGCCCTGTGTTCTGCGACGTGGCCCTTGTGGCAGGAATCAGTTGGGCGCCTGACTCTTTGAGCTCCCTCTGCTTGAAACGTGTGCGTGTGAACTTCCCCTTTCATACTGAAAAGGAAGATGCTTAGCCTGAAACTGAAAACTCTTCAGTGTTTAATATACAGCAAAACACAAACTTTGAAGGCTTTTGTTTTTTTTTCAAACAAGTAGTAAAAGATAAGTGTGCTTATTTCTGTTGTGTGTAGAGACACTGGTGTTAATTTTTTTTCTCTGGATTATCAAAGATTGTATCTTTGGTTTATATCTTCAGTTAAAGTGAAATACATGAGATTGTAAGAAGGAAGGTCATAATTCCTTCACCATGAAGTACGTAGGTATCTCTACCTCTTGTCAGACTTGAGTAGTTCAAGTTGATCATCCTCTCCCAGGCTATGATGCCTGGATAAGTAATGTACACTTTTTAATTGACCCATGTTAAGTGTTACCTATTTACCATACTTCTTGGTATCCTGCTTTTGGTCTGCATGCAGTCTTCCCTTTGGAATGGAGCAAAGCCAAGCTGGTAAGGGACATGTGAGTCCTGCAGGGAGTGAGTTCCAGAGCGCAGCGGTGAGTGGAGCTGCTCCCGACTAGCTCAGGGCCTTTCAGCATCGCACCTTGTCTTTCCACTTCAGGCCACAATGAATGGGAGATGGAGCAGCTGCTCCCCAAGAAGGGACCGTCTGGCCCTTTCATTTGCTCTTGAAAAGCATCAGGAACCCACCTGATGCAGTGCTATGAGTGTATTTCTTACATGTTCCGTACTTTGTTCCATCTTGAGCTGTGCAACAAAAAGTGAAGGCTGTGAAAGGGCTGCACAGCTGCTGCTTCCTCCCTGTGCTCGGCGTCTGCTCAGGATGAATGCCTTATGCTTAAAGCAGAGCTGAGAGTGCTCAAGCACGCTGGAGATGCTGGGAGGTTCTCCTTTTCTGTTCTTAGAAAGCTTCTATCTTTGCATAATTGCATCCTGAAGATAAAATCTCTTTCTAGATGACATGCATTCTACACGAAGAAAAAACACATTTGTCTGCAATGCTCTTGCTTCTTGCTTGCAGATTCTCCTTGGGCTGTGGGTTGGCTGCGGCTGGGGCAGCAAGCTTGAATGTTGCCAATGGAGCTGTCCCTGTGCCTCGGGAGTGGCTCTTTAGTCAAGTTTAGTTATCTTAAAAATATGCATTCTTTCTTATCAGTAAGTTGAAATGGGCCCTCAGAAAGGAAATGGGCCACCGGGAGTGGTGGGAAGGCCTCATGCTGCGAGTTGTCCATTATCTGGAGTTGCAAGAGAGATGGATGGACTGCAGGATGAGGTTCTCACCCTGCACTGCTGGGCTTCATCCCAGCCGACCTGGGGCACAAAGTGAGCCCGTGTTGCTGCAGCTGTATGGAGGGGGAGGGAGCACTGACAGCCAGCCTGGAGATCTGCAGCTTGCAGCACAGACACTTGTTGTGGAGCTCAGCCCTGGCGTGGCCACATCGCCCTGTATAGAAGGAATGTGTTTTGGTAGTGTATACTCCCAGAGAAGTGAATAATTGTAAGAAAACAGTGGAAGCATCACACCTTTGTGCAGCTTTCACTGAACTGTATGTGAACACTGCTAGCTACCAGTCTCCTCAGTAAGCCCTCAAGGGCACTTGGGATCAAATCTACCATTCTCTGTATCTGGAGTAATCCTTGCTTTTTGGACTTACCAGCAGACACCACGTGTTTTCTCCAGTTTTCTCCAGTTTTCTCGCTGCAGGAAATGATGAATGTATTGTTGTGGAGCAGAACCACACTTCCTCCTCCAGCTGGCACCATCATGAGTGCTGCGGAGTTGTAATGCTTGAAAAGGCTACAGTAAATTCCGTTTCATGCTGGATGTCTTTTCGAGGATGTGGCCAAGTGTGAAGCCATGATCTGGAGAAAAAGTGGGAAAAGTTTGAGGTGATGTTTCTATACTGAGTCTTATCTGCTTGGTTGCTTTACAGATACTTCTCTTGTGTTGTCTTGCTCACCGTTATTGTCTGGAACAGAATGGAAACAGCGTCCCACAGAATGTGCAGTCTGAGGCACAGTGCACGTAGGTTGTGATGAGAAGGTTGTTACTTGATAGCAACCCTGAGTGCAATGCTCAGTCCCTTTTGGAAGAAAAGCATTAAGGTTTCTCTTTACTTATAAGCAAAGCATCAGTCTGTCCATTACTGACATCTTGTGGAGTTTGTGCCAGATGTATATTAAATATTTTGGTGCTTTTTCTAATCCAAGTTGCCGTTCATTCACCTGTGAGATTGTTTACTTCTGTATATTGAAGCGTCGACACACCCGCTAAGAAAAACAGAAAAAAAGCCCTGAAACCCCATCACCGCCAAAAAAGTATTGCCTGTAGTCACTCTGTATCCTGAGTACTGTAGCTTTGCAAATGTTCAGAGCTGACGGGTCTCTGTCCGTAAGGTCTGAGGGAGGGGACGGCCAGAGAAACCCAGTCCCTGGGAGAGGGAACTTCCACGTTGCTCTGTGCGTTATGAACAAATGAGTCATTTATCGTGTTTATATAATGACACTTTGGTGTTCACTTTTTTGTGAAGCTTTGTACAAAATGTTTTATTTAAACCTGCAGTCCTTTTTACATTTTCAATTAAAAGGGGAAAAATTAATTATTTTTTCATGACTATAACTAGGACTCTCGATACTTTTATTTGTTACCCACTTCCCAAGCAGGAATCCTTGCTGCTTACTAAACCCGTGCAGGGAGGTGCCTACCCTATTCTTAAGTGCATTGGGATTAAAATGGCCTGGTTTACTTGCTCAGATTTGCAGTGCGCGAGGTATGTGCAAGGTGCTGGATGTGGGCAGCCTCACAGAAGAGGGGCTGTGTGCAGGGACGAGCATGGCAGCGCGGGCAATCGCCGTTCCCCGCAGCAGCACTGCATGGACGGTCAGACTGCCGTCCGGTTTTGTAGCAGCAGTGACAGAGGGCTCAGTGGTTATCCCAGTTTGAAGAGGGCCGCCGAGCTCGCCGGGCGTGGATACAGGACCTTTCTAAAACAGAAGAAATTAATGGCTGCATTCATCTCGCTTAATAAGATACTTCATTTGAGGAATTTTGGAGGCTTTAAGCTATAGGTATGAAAAAACCTGAAGTGAGCACCATTGTGCACGCTGCCTGGCACTGCCATGGGCTGAGCTGCAGTGCCCTTTCCCTGCCATCGCTCTTTGCTGCAGTTCCTGCTCCGTCAGCTCAGCCTGGGAGGTGGGCATGGAGATCTGGGCAGGGATGCAGGAGGAGGTGACGTCTCCTGCCGACTGCATTTCATCATTTCCGGGACAGTAACTATTTCAAAGTTATCTCAGCATATTTCAATTCATACTAAGAAACTCTTGGTCTCACTTTCAAACTTGGAAACAAACATTTCCCTTTTTTTTTTTTTTCTTTCTTTTCTTTTTTTTTTTTTTCCCCCAGTGCCCAAAGCTTTTTCTGGGCGTTGTTGTAGTTCAGTCTGCTGATAAGAGGTGGTGAAGCAACCTTTGGTTCCAGGTGTGCAGAGCTCAGAGCTGATGCCAGGCTGTACCTCATCTCACACTACTGCTGGTCAGGGCTGGCTGCTGCAGTAACTCTGCACTTACAGCTCCCCACCAAAAACACGGTGAGTAGTTTCTGCAGCTGCGTGCTGAGATGGCCCAAACAAACAGCCCTTGCCCTTCCCACTGCAGCCAAGTTGCAATCTTTTGTTTCCTAAGGGGTGTGGGAGAAAAGAGATTGTCCAAGAGGTATGAATCACCAATTCCTCCTTTCCATGAAGTACAGTGCTTTTCCAGAAAGGAGGCCGTGACTGTTTTGGAAGCTGGCACAGCTGGAACAGGGAGCGTGGAGCTGCTGAGCAGCTGCTGCAGGTACAGCACAGTGCTGCAGTGAAGGCAGCCCTGCAGTTCAGCAGTACCCCACGAGGAAACAACTCACTGAATTCCATCACAGTGATGGGGTTTTACAGGACCTCCCTGCACTGCCCTCCGCTCTTCCAAAGCATTTGCTGAATTCAGTGCCAGGGAAAAATGCCACAGCCAGAAGCACTAACGGAAAAGGCTTCGTGCTTTTAAGATGTTTTGAATAGCTTTTATTTTTAGAATTTATAGAAGATACAGTGTGAAAGCCCATTGTTCCTACAGCAAGGGCTCTTTACAAAGACATCAATGTTTAAAATAACTACGAAGATCTTTACAAAAGACTGATTAAAAATTTGGCAGCTTAACAAGCACTGCTCCCTCCGTCATCTTTTATTCCCATCAGACCAAGGCCGGACTGTGATCCATGAACACTGCAACATAAACAAGAGATGTTATTTCTGCTCAGGGCAGCCTTGATGCATACAAGCTAGCTGCTCTAGCAGGGAGAAGCCTGCAACCCCCCAGTTAAGCAGATTGGAAAACTGCATGTATTATTTTCCATCCAACAATTTTTGTTATTCTTTTTGAACAAGAAGTTTATCAGTCCCCTGGGAAACAGTAATTTGTGAACCTCACTTGGCATGAAAACTCTCCCAGGCTTGGGATGGCACTCCCTTCTTCCCAACAGTCCTGAACATGGCTGTTACATGTAGGCAGGATTTGATAACAAGCTTGTGTGAGAATCCGTATGTGCAATCAGCAGTGCTCTAATGAGGTAGAAACTGCTGCTGTCTCACTTTGCCTGCTATTATTCTTTGAAGTGATGGGCAACCAGCTAAATGATCTTTTCTTAAAAACTAAGTGTTTTGGAACAAACTTGCTAAGCAGCTACTAGAAACTGGACAATTACAGCAAATCATGCCAAGAGCAGCACGTGTGCATACTGAAATGGTTTGTCATGGGCACTGAGCACAAACAGACTCTTGGCTCAGGATGCTTCACTCTTCCAGGAGCAGTGGTCCACAAGATAACACAGCATCACGCTGCCACTCCTCAGGAAGCTCTGCAGGTAAGAGTGGCATGGCTGGCTGCCCACGGCGAGAGAGGTGCTGCCCTGTCCCCCTGCTTCTCTGTCAGTGCAGCTTTTGTTAAAGGGAACTACAGACAAGCAGGGGCAGATGTGCGACCGAGCGGAGACACAGCCAGTCACTATGGCCTTGCTTGGGAAAGATTTAAACTTTCTAGTCAAGCTACCACGAGACACCTGTTAGATTGTGGCTGGGCTGTACTGCTTTGTTAAGTGGTTCGAAAACAATCAAACACACAAAAACCCAACAACCAAAAAACCTGGCTGCTGCAGAACCTTTGCCCGATTCAGTTTGACACACAGAAAGCTTGCTTGTGTGTCAAGACAATTGCAAAACTGTATCAGCTTCGAAACAGCGACAAAATGTCGGGGTTTCATCCAACCAGAAAACCCGTGCAATTAATTAACGCTCTGGATTTCACCCCTGCTAATCTGGAGCATGGCTTATGAGAAGAATTTACTGATCAGTTTTATTAGCCTCATATGAAAGTCAGACAATACAACAGCTTCTTGGGCCTTTTATCACGCTTTTGTTTCCTTTTTAATGAAGATGAAAATAAAAGCATGAGGCAGTAAGTTACCTGTTCATTCCAGGAAAGAGAACAATGCACAAGGTGTTATCCTGCAGACTTCTATAAAGCTTTTTTATATGGTGGTCTAACTTCTTCACCTTTTTCTTTACATCTTGCTCCTGCACAACAGAATACAAGTATTACAATGACCCATTCTTCTGCAGGTATGTAATGATCACATTTAGAAATGTTTTATGAGGAGACTGAGCTGGGGCAGCGTCAGGGACTGAACAGGTAAGGAAACAGTGATTGTTACAGCTGGCATTTGGAAGTGCACCAGCTCAGCTGCAAGGAGAGCTGCATGCTCTACTCAGATGGCACTACAGCTTCCTCCAGTAAAAGGGACAGCTACAAGCAGACCAGACCTGTTCTTGCCTGCAACACTACGACACGATCCACTTCTCTCTCTGACTTCTGTACCATTTCCTACACCTGTGCACTGCTTAGTTAGCTCTCAGGTGGTAGGCTCTAGCCGCCGTGTAACATCACTCACTGCCCTGTGCATGGACACATGGCATCCTGGCTCCCAGGGCAGTACGTGGTTCAGTGTTATTCACCTTCACACTGATGAACAGTAACAAGCCAGCATAGCCTTAAACTCACAGAGTCAGACAGTGGTGCCATCTTCTCACTTAAACTGTTTCCTCTTTGCTTTTCACTGCTATGATTCATTTGCCAAATCCATCTCCAGAGGTGACCTGAAGCAAGAGCGTGCCTACTTCTGAGTGTGCTGCCCCTCACAGCCCAGCCATTTATAGCTTCCAGGGCATCTGCCGCACTTCGCGATTTCTGGAATTCTGAAAAACAAAGAGAAAGGGATTGTGATTTAACACTTCTTGTTCCCTGTTCTTTGGCACCTGCAGGGCAAGGCTAAAGGTGGAGCAGGAGGAAGAAGAGAAACTAAATCACTCCAGTGAGCAGATCCTATCTTGCTTCAGGCAAGTGTCAGACTACTGAAGCGTCAGATAAATACAACAACACTCATCCAGTTGTTCTCCTGACTTCCTAGAAGTGATCACTAGTCGGTGTGAAGTGCAGAGCAGCCAGCCATGCTTTCATTGGACTATTTTAAATAGTGGCACTTGGAGCACACGTGAGTTTCCATCATATTTCCAAGGGCTGCTGAACAAGCTTGCATGAAGGAAATAAGCAGACTTCACTGCAAAGCTACTTACTGAGAAAACAGCAGGTGCTGTGCTTTCCACTCTGGAGATCCTTTGGCAGGAAAAGAGTTTCCAGGTCTTTCAAAAGACTGAATTCTTCTTGCAAATCTGTCTCTGTTAATGACTTCTTTATTCCTGCCACATAAATCACACCTTCATTTTCTATATCCAGTTCCAGTTCCCTTATCAGAACATCAGAGTCCAGTGTAGCAGCAGTGATGGGTCTCTGAACCTGAAGTGAGCCCAATAGGAACAAATGCAACACATCAGCCAAGGCAACTCTGTCTTCTAAGCTGCTGTTTTAAACGATTTTGTTTCACTATCAAAACTCTCTTAGCTGTTTCCCTTTCCTTGAAAAATGTAACTAGTGAAGGATAGCTTAATGAGTCATGAAAAAGGAAAAGATCATGTTTGCAGTGCAAGAACATTAGACAAATAAGAACCCCATTCTGCTTATTCAGCATTTCAACACCCAGCAAATCACTCTCCATTTTAAAGATGGAGTTGCCAACTCAGCGTGCTTCCTAACACCTTTCTGCTGTCCAACAGAAAGGAAACGAGACCAAAGCGTAAGCTGTCTTGGGAGCTGGTGGCAGCACAGCCAGCCAAGATCCACCCACACTCTATGCACTACGTAGATTTTAAAAGACTCATGCTGGCCCATATTCCTAACTGTAATTTAGGCTTTTGCTATTTACTTTGCTTACCTTAATGCACGATCCTGCTACCTCAGCTCCATTTAGGCTTTCCACAGCAAGCTGGGCAGCTTCCAGCACGCTGTACTGGATACAGACATATGGCTCGAAACAAAAGGACAGGATACCTCAGGTTTATGAATAGCAGATATTAGCCCTCCCCTTTTACAAGTCAGGTCTCAGGGTTCTTTTCTGTTTTAAATGGCACATAAAGGCTTCGAGTGGGTGATACAGGTAACACTCTAGATACTGCAACTACTAAAAACAACCTTCAATTAGCTCAACTATTAAAAACAACCTTCTTCTGCCATTACAGGCCTTGGTATACCAGCTCTGTTGAGGGGGACAAAAATCATCTCAGCATTATCAACACACGGTTAAAGCCCTGCAGCTTGGACAGCAATGTTGTACCATATCAGCTGTGCTCATTCTTGTCAATGTCTGCAGCAGCTTTCACGTGTACTGAGAACTGTCCCCCTCACACCCAAAAATCACCAGAATATCTGGTATTTAAGTGGTTGTAATCTGTATCTTTCCAAGAGATTACTCTTGACTTCACTGCCTGTCAGCACACTGAATGGTGCTAGTGCTCCTCACCTGGTACGTTTCAGTCACCACTGTGAGGGATCTGATCGGCCCACACCTTCCAAATTCTTTTTTCACAGACTTCAGGCAAAAGTCTTCTTCAAAAGGACCTGCGTAAATTGTCAGCATGTCAGTCAGCTTGTTTCTCACCTGTAAGAACACAGATTAGAGAAGCAACTTCACAAAGCAAGGAAACTATCAGCTTCCACCAGATACATCATGGGTCTTCCCAAGCTCAGCAGTGAGGACAGTTCTCACTCAAAAAAAAAATGACTACCTTTTCACAAAATCCAGCAAGACGGTGAGATGCAACATACTCTGGATCCAAACTGAACTGAATTATGCTGAATGTGGAGAGGGGAACATCTTCCAAGGCTCTCTGAAGAATCTGGAAGGAAAAAAAAAAAAGAGTATGAAGTTCAAAGAGCTAACTGTATTGCAGCAAACCTGAAGCAGAGCTCCTGACCTTAATTCCCACCTCTAATTCTCATCACTGTCTAAGGAAAACCTCCAGCAGAAATTATTCTCTAGTGAGTCATGAGATAGTGACAGAGGATCAAAGCTTATTTTTCAATGTTCAAGTGGATTCAGCTAACCTAGTTAGGTTATTCAGCTAAGCTGGTTAGCTAACACCACTGCTGAAAGTACTGTCAGTCAGCTTTTTAAAACATGACCCACCCACCGCCTCAGGATAAGAAGAACTTTTAACAGCTTGGATGCTTGCTCAGACCAACCCACTCTGTGTCCATTCACCTGTTTGTTGGAAGTGCTGAGGTCACTCCGACAAAGGCCAGAAGAGTCCAGTTCCTGTCTGCCCAAAAGGAGGGGCTTCTGGCCCATCCCCTGCAAGCAGGCCAGAAAACTAGCAGAGAGAGAAAAAAAAACCTGCACATTACAGTAGTTGTCAATGTGGTGAGTTAAAAGCTTTCAAGAAGTGCCCATTATTGAAAAATGATACAGTTCATTAAAGATATTTTAAAGAATGTTTTCGTCCTCAGAAGTCCTGAAAATGCGTCCGAAATTTAAGATGTAACTTCTGAAAACGTGTTAGTGCTACTCTACAATTCAGTGTCTCCCTCTGAAGATACTGGAAGCCTTCCAAAAACAGGACAAGTCTTTCATTTCACTGAGGATTCAATCAAAGGAAAAAATATGCATCTCTGAGAGTCTTGTTACCATGGTTTGGATAAGTGTGGAGGATCATTCAGCTGCTTCTGGACCCCACACTGCTGTGGCTGCATCACAGATTTGTTTGGTGAGACTTCAGTCTGCCTTTCAGCTGCCAGCAACATTTCCAAGTTTAGTTCTGCTACCTTGTGGAAAGAAGATGAGCAGTTGGCTTTCATCTCTGTTAATTGTAACTAACCACCAACCATGTGCTTGCTCCATGAGTTACCTGGCCACATTCCACAGCAGTGGAGAAACACAGGTATTCATCTTTTGCCTTAATATTTTCTGTTGTCATTTTCAAGCAAGCAGTATTTGAGCACCATCCAGCAAGCACATCCAAAAAGTGTTCTCAAAAACCAGCAATGCAAGAAAAAGATTTAAGACTCATAATTGGCATCTTGAATCGGTGCCAAAACATAGAAGGTCCCTCACTTGTTTCACTGAGAAAAAGACAGGCTGTCCCACAGGCTGTGAGTGTCAGAATCTTTCTCTTCCCAATGCCCCTGTAAGAGGTCAGCAGCAGTGCTGATTCACGGCAGTGTCTGAGTACTGGTGATGTTCCAAGTTACCGAGATACCAAGATACAGGCTGGAAGTAAGCTACCACAACCAAGGCTTATACCACAGCTTCATTTCCTCAGTAGAAGAACGGGCAAGAGTGTTTATTCATCATAAGCACAACAATTTGCATGTTCTGCCATTCAGGGGATGAGACACAGATACCTTTGCTGGTCCTTTCTTAATAAAGAACTGAGCCAATTCCAATGCAGCTCTAGCATCTTCTGCAGGATCGTGACCAAGCCTCTGTTGGCACTGGATCTCCTTCCTAGGGCATCAAAATTAAATGTACAGGCAGGTTACCTACTTTTCCATACTAATTAACATCTCTTTTTTTCGAAACGGGATCCTTTTCAGCAAAATAGCTTTCCTCTCTAAAAACCATTTCAATTCTGTGCAGCAGCATTTTTGCTAAATATTTCCCAAAGTTACCGCAAGAAACCTTTCTGCCATATTGAGCAAAACACTGTTCACAGGGTTTGAAAGAAGCAGTGCAGCATAATAATTCTACGGTCATTCTCCATTTTCACCCTTGATCAATGACTGAACTCACAATTTGCACACAGGCAAGGAGGTAACCTCCAGCTCTGGGAAGTTTGGAGCTGAGTTGTGAGCACTGCACTGCTAAGACATGCTATGATTGTTGGCATTGGAAGGGATATGATTAAGTCAGTACATCATACTTACCCAAATTAGCATTTCTTTCTGGATAGCTGCAACAAATATCATTTGTGTGAGCCAGAGTGCATTTGCTGCTCTGTACAGCATACACTGTACAGCTGCAGTAAAGCTGGTTGTGTGGTTCACATACAAACAAGAACTTGGTTGTGCCAAGCATCTTTGCTCAAAACCAGGCCAAATTGTTGTGCTGCTTAATGTTTCAAGGAAACAGTAAATTCTTCATTACTGTGTTCATTTGCTTGTTCCTTTGAGTTTTAGTGGAAAAAAATACTCTGTTGCTACTGTTGGAAAAGCAGGACCCTATGACCCACAACAGTTCTAATAGTTCCCATGACAATGCTGTCATAATCTTACCCCAAAACAGCTTTGGCTAGAAATTTTAGCTTAAATCTTCGGCCTTCATTTCTGGCAAAAAGTAATGAAGTATCAATAACACTGGGATGGATCATCTGGAAGAAAGGAAATATCACCAGTTTAATTTAAGAACAGCAGTCAGAGAATTGGGCAATAACTCCATTGTTATCTGTGCCCTTTCATTTCAGTTGCCAGTTTCTCACTGACAAATAATTGGTAATGACAAAACAGATGGTAATAATGAAACAGGCCCAAATCTCTTTTCTAACACTTTGCTGGGAAGACCAACGTTGGATTAGAAAGATTCAGGGATTTTACGTTGGCTTAATTAAATATAGGAAGGACTTTGGTTCTTCCCATGACAGAGATGTCAGAAGCACCCAGAAGCAGCAGACAGTAATGCTTCCTTTGCACACCTATCCCTGTCTAATCAGATTCCTCCCTTCCTTTTGGGTTCAAAAGAGCAGATAGCAAGTTTTATATATGTAAGAGCAGTCTCTCTCTCTCAAATCCTTACAAACATAAGGCTATGCATAATGAAAAGCAATTAACAAGTGTACACTAATAAAAAGAACTGTTTGGACCTTTTACGTCTGAAATGAGTATCGCAGGGTTGGGATAAACACTCACTTGCAAAGCCTGAAGATCAGCATTTAGAGAATGACCCACCAGTACTGCATCATGGGGAAGTATCTTTTTCAGTCTGGTTTGTATATCTGGCAATCTTGTTTTCACTGGAAGAAGCATTTTCCTTGTGACTCCCGAGTATCTTCAAAACAGAAATGAGATGAGGTACAAGCAATGCATTAGCAACAGCATTTACTGGAGAACATCACGAGCAGGGCATGCAAAATATGAATCCAGCATAACTTATGACAGAATGCTATTTAATGCTTTCTCTGCGGGCATGTTCCAAGAGGAATCCACCAGAGGATGCACAGATATTAAGCTGCTGTGCTGCCACATCTGTTTGTGTCCTCTCAAGCATGACTTATTAAGCAATGCAGTTCTCAGCATCAGATAACACGGGTAACAAAATCCTACAAGGCTGTTATGGAAGGAGGTACTTCACACAACCTGAGGAAACAGGCAGCTCATCTCCTGCGTAAATCCAAGCCAAGACTTGGAGAAGAGATGGTTTGAGTTTGGTCTGCTGCAGTTGTAACGAGCCCAGCCTTAGAGCTGTGAGCGAGCAGATGACCTAAGCTATTCTCTATCTACCGATATGCAAACTTAGCTACAGAGCAGAGAAAGCTGATTTACAATCCTGTACCTTACTCACCCTGTGTCCTTTTTTATATCCAGCCCTGAAAAATAGCCTGTACGGTGATAATTTACTTATTGAAGAACTTTTCCTACAGCACTGCAGAATGACAATACCTAGCTGACAAGCAGATGCTCTGTAGCAGCATATACACAACGCTGGTTATTCTAACCACGTAGCACAAACTGCATTCTTAACAGTGAGTGAAATGCAAGACACCACTGTGAGAGCATGCACACCAAAGTGTTCTGACAGACTGTATAGAAGGCTTGATCTGAAAGGGCTGCAGGTCTTAAAAGATGACGATAAGAAACTTTAATGGAAGTCACCTGGTGCAGTAGTTCACTATCACGCTTTCTGGTTTGACTAGCTCATTCAGAAGGCACTGCCCCTCTGCATCCACCAAAGAGACACGAGTGACTTCATTCCCTCTTGCAGTCAGGCACTGTTAGGACAAAGCAGAGGCAGGCACTGGATCGGCTGATGCTGCCATTCGGATTCCTTAGCTTTGACTACAGGCAGTGTCACTACAAATCACTTTACTCGGAGATCCACCACTTGCAGCTTTCATACCATACCATGCTTCATTTCAAGTGGTAAATGCCTGCCCTCAACACATCAAACACACAGCCAAGCTTAACACAAAGAAAACCTCTACAGAGAAATGCTGAATTCACAGAATCAGTTTGCACTCTGCAGTGCAGAGCTGCCATTGACAGTGTCTTCACCTAAGAAGAAAATGCAATTTAAAAGCAGACCCCAAACCACATCATTAGTCACTCAAAGATGCTGCCACAGAACTGTGATGGCTACAGAAAAGACGTGGGACAGAGACATCTTTGCACTCCCAAACCCTGGGGAGGGCAAAGGCAGGGAACTGTAAACAAAAACCTCAGGAGTGACTACAGCATTGTCAATAGCAGATCCAGATGCTACTGTAGGAGCCAGCACAGAACTGAGCTCTCTGCTGCACTGCTCAGGACAAAGATAACTTTGCTGATGTCTCCAGAACCACTGAGTCCTTCCCATGGCTGCATTAGCACTGGTACCATCAAAGAACGGACTGTAAGCAGATACGTCAGAAGTGGTTTAATAAATGCACAGGGTGCTTGGTTTGATTTGGAACAGCCAATAAGAGCTTGGCTGCTTGACTATGCTTTGTAGGATCACACATTTACTGTTACCATTTCACAATCCAGACCGAAGAGGGGGCTGCTGTCTGTCCTCTGAAGATCACACTCTGTGTACATATAACCCTTACATCCTGGTGAATCTAAAATGAAAAGACACATTTAAGACACAGACCTCTTTCTTCTAATAGTTATCATACAACATACATCACCAAAAATCTCATTCATTTTCAAAATTTAAGAAAAATCATACCAACGAAAACCTCAGAAAACCAACCTCTCATGGGATAATCATTCTTTTTCAGCTCTTCTGAAGTTAGAGTATAGCTTGTGAGGCCTCGTTTTTCTCTGCCATATTTCCGGATGATGGGATCACATTGCAAGCCTGAGCTTTCAGGGACACATTCAACACCAGTGGAAATCAAGCCTGGAATGTACAGAATGGTCTGTCAGGATCAGACAGCACTCCTTACTTGCAGTCTGCACAAATAGGCACATTCAAAGGCTACACCATTTCAAAAGAAAATGCATGGAACAAACTGTACATATATCAGGATATTTAATATACACTGGCATACAAGTTTATCAGGACACTTAAATCTACTCCCAGCACAGCTACTGACACTGCTAGCAGCTTGTGAGCCAACTGTACTCCAAATCTATCTCACATTCCTCTCAGCTGAACAGAGGGGACACCTTCCTGTGAAGCACGACAGTACAGTCACTTGTTATCTCATGTAAGCCACAAAAAGCAGCTCTCTCTTCTTTCTACTTTCTCTACAAATTTATTTCCCCAAAGTATTATTCACAGAAAATGTGCTGTAAGTGTGGCTCTAGAAGCAAGCACTGAACTGACATCACGATCCACAACTGTATAAACTTTATTATTTTGTAGGTGATCCTCTGCAGGCTGCACTTCTAGAAAACTGTACCTGATGTCTCAGCTCTGTGACAGCGCATCAGGCTTACAGACAGGGTGCTACAGGACTCTCATTACAGTGAAAGTAACAGCTCCTCAATCTCCCACTTAGGACTTGAATTCAAGATCTTTGTGTTACACTTCTAACAATTTCAGTGAAGTTCTTTCTCATGGTAGTTTTGCAGATTTTTCACATGCCTGTTGGATTACAGTTACCTCTATAAAGAGTGTAAAAATAGGGTATCAGTTGTTAACACACCTGTTCTTTACCTTCATTTGCAGCTCAGTATAACTAAAAAATAACAGACATATCTTACAATAAAATAATCACAAAAGGGGTAATGAAGCATCAGAATTTTGTATTAAACTTGTCAAAAGAAAATCTGCTTTTTGCATTTACTTGTTACAATAAACCCCAGAGAGTTCCTGAAGTAGTCAGTGTAAGTAGACTCTTGGCATAAGCCATTACACTTTTTCTTTTCACTATAGCAGCATGCTAGGATTGCACAGGGTGCAAAGATATTAAATTACTCCTGAAAATGAATTGCTGCAACTGAAAGAGAGAACTCAAAGCCAAGTGAGGTACCTTGTGCAGTGCCTTGAGGATTCGGGTTCGCTCCTTCGCCACACAGACTGGTTAGGAAGTTAGCTGAAGGGGGTGGTAACGTGAATCTCTGAAAACAGAGATGTGTTAGAGACTTGGAAACACAGCAGAAATGTCAAGCATATAAGATGCCTCTTTATCGCCAGTCCACTCCAAGTTAGAGAAGGAAGGACAGAAAGGAAGTATATTTGGCATTTTCTGAGGAAAATTTAAAGAAATCTGTTCTCATGACACACAGTATAGAATTGTATGTTACAAGGAGAAAGCTTTGCCTTCACTGATGTGATTAAGAACACAAATCCCAGTCCTACACAGATAAGGACCTAAAGCAGTTCCAGACTTTCCATGATTTTGCATTTGCTGCAGTTTGGGGAACTATGCTAGATCAAAGCACTCTTCCCTTTCCCTTTCCCTTTCCCTTCCCCTTCCCCTTCCCCTTCCCTCCCCTTCCTTCTTTCCCTCCCTCTTTCCCTTTTCTCCTTCCTCCCCTCCCTCCTTTCTTGATTTTGCTTGCAGCTCAGAAAATTAAAATGACTCTTAATAATCTTGAAATAAATGGGAGAAACTTGACATAGAGCACACACAGATTTTTCAATCAGTGGGAAGGGAACAGCATAACTCTATTAAGATTCTCCTCACTCACACCCAAGAGCATATTTCAAATCAGCAGAAGTATTTTTAATCTCCCAGGCAGCCTGAAGAAGTCAGAAGCATTGAGGACTGAAATGCCACAGCACAGACATTTCACCTGGTAAGGCTGCAGAGATCTAAGCCTTGAAAATCTGTTTCTCACACTGCAGCCCTGGCCTCAGCTTGAGCTGTCAGAGCCTAGAGAGATGCTCTCATTCACTTGGTGAGCAATCAAAGGCGGCCACTTCCTGCTGGAAAGGCCACAGTCTCAAGCAAACAGTGGCAAGCAGTAACCAGGGCACAGCTTCAGCACTGGAAGAATTTTAGTAGACAGCAGTGCAGGGACTTACATGCTGGAACACTTTTCGGAGGTGTTTGAACTGTAAATAGAATTTGTAGAAGTGGAGCTGGCTCATTTCATGCAGAACAATAACCACAACCCCAGCCAGACGGCTTTGGTGATAAACATGGCACCAGCTGCAATAAAACAAATAAATAAATGAATACATAAAACTCAAAGCAACACAATCATCATGCACTCTTAGAAACAAACTTGGAGCCAGACCAGCTTTTAAGTCCATCAATGGCAAAAATGTCAAGTGACTTCAGTGAGAAGAGGCTCGTATCGCTTGTCTCAGCCAGCCACAACAAAGAGACACAAGAGACAGAGAAAGAATGAGTTGTACCTGAACTCCACTCCTGGCTCAGATATAGGTTCAGGTCTTACCATACCTCATTTATATGCACCAGAATACAAACACAAACCAGTATCTCCCACTGTAGTGATGCAATCTGGTCAAACTAAGATTACTTCATCAAAATGAAAAATTCACAAAATCATTTTCTATTCAGTACTGAAAGCCTGAAATGTTTTTTGCATGTAGCTTTACTGCAAGACACGCTGCATGTCACCAAACTTGAGTCAACCAAGGCTATATACCCCCTCAGCCTTTCAGCAGGAAACAGAAGAGTTACTGAGAAGATGAAAAAGGGCAAAGTGACTAAATCGGCTTTCCCAAAACACTCCAGAGAAAACACTTCAAATACACCTGGCACAAAATAGTATCGTGCTAACATTTTAACAGCACATTTCTTTTCTTGGTGTGTGAAGCTGCTGCTCCACAAATTTTGTTTCTGTGACTGCATGAAACAAAAGTATGGAATGCTAGAATTTCTGTGAGAATTCTGGTCTGCAACCAAGCCTAACATGAACCGTATCTATGTAATGCAAGCTGTCAGTATGGCCTTGTAAGAGTTCCAGAGCACAACTGCCTTCAGAGGCTCGCACAGCACAGGGGGCACAGCACAGGGCTGCCTCCTGAGCACAGAGGTGCTGTACCTGGGCTGGGCTGCATTGTGGCGTTTCCCCAGGGCTGCGTACTGTAGCAGCTCGTACAGCTGCTCTGGGCTGATCTCACAGTCCTCACCAAGCAACGCTGCAGACAAGCGAGATGACTTCTCCTGGGAGAAGGAAAATGTTAGTAAAGACAGGTTTCGTGTGACCACACACATCTGTGGAACAGGAGGTGAATTATGCAGTAAAACAGTGTACTGTTTGGGCAAAAGCAACAGCATGTAAAATAACTCCTCCATTCATTAAGGTTTCTTTTGAGCCCACATTTCAACATCAGAGTTACCATTAGCATCTCAGTAAGGTACTTCAGAGATGTCCTGCAAAGACCACCACATGCAGACATCTGCATTTACACGAGCTGCATGCAGCTGTCTCACATGTGCTTCTACAGAACCCATCTGCTTTGTGTAACTGCATCAGCTGTTGGGGCATTCACTGACCCTGCTGCAAAAAGTGTTTCACAGCATCCAAAGGAGCTGCAGGCAGAGAGGGTCAGAGACAGGACAGAACCACACAAATTAGCACAGCAGCTTGTTAAGCCATGATCCCAAATTTACCAGCTCTCCCAAGCCTTTTGGCAAGCATATACATTACCTTGGAGAACTCCAGTGACTGTCTGGCCACGAAACTGACATGACCAGTAAAAATTTTCCAAGATAGTATTTTATTACATAACAAGAGGACATCACCAAGGGCAGATCATACCTGACCCATCAGGTGACCTTCTGCAATGCAGTAACAGCACTGGTGGACAAAGGAAGAACAACTGATGATTGCATGGACTCATGTAAGGTCTTCGACATCGCCCTGCTGTGTTGGACACAGCACCCGGCGGGACCTGGACAGGCTGGAGAAGGGGCACACGAGAACCTGCTGAGGCCGAGCGAGGCGCAGCGCGGGGTGCTGTGCTCGAGTCGGGGCAGCACCAGGTGTGTGCAGACTGGGAGAAGAGCTCACAGAGAGCAGCCCTGCGCAGAGGGACGCGGGGGTTCTGGTGGACGAAGAGCTGGACGTGAGGCAGCAGCCTGCGCTCGCAGCCCCACAGGCCGACTGCATCCTGGGCTGCAGCAGCAGAGGGGGGCGGCGGGCAGCGAGGGGATTGTCCCCCTCTGCTCTGCCCTCGGAGCCCCCAGCTGCAGTGCTGCGTCCAGGCCTGGGGCCCGGCACAGCAAGGGGGGGAGCTGTTGCAGCGGGGCCAGGGCAGGCGATAAAGATGCTCGGAGCTTGGAGCAGCTCTGCTGTGCAGACAGGCTGAGGAGCCGGGGCGTGCAGCATGGAGAGGAGAAGGCTGCAGGGAGACCTCATTGCGGGCTTCCAGGACTTAAAGGGAGCTTATGAACAGGAGGGGGACCGACCTTTTACAGCAGCAGACAGTGAGAGGACGAGGAGAAAAGACTCTAAGCTACAAGAGGCAGATGCAGGTGAGATGAGGGGGAAATCCCTCAGAGGGCAGCGAGGCGCTGGCACTGCTGCCCGGAGCTGTGGGCTCCATCCCTGGGGGCTCAGAGCCACGGCCGGACCCGACGGAGCTGGGGGCAGCTGGAAGGCGGCAGGGTGTACCGGGGGCTGCGAGGGCCTCCCGACCGGACACGCGGCGCTCTCCGATGCCGGCGCACCGCACGCAGAGCTCCGCCCGTCCCGGGGCCGCTGACGCCAGGAGCCGCGCCGTGCCGCGTTCTGTCACAGCTCACCATCGCTGCCCTGCTCCTCTTGCCGCCCAACCGAAGCCCCTCCGCGTCCCGTCCCGCGGTCCGCTTGCGGCCGTTCACGCGGTCGGACCGACCCGCCATGGCCTCGCCGAGGAGCCGAGCCGAGCCGACAGCGCCTGCGCGGAGAGCGCGGGGAGTGCGCAGCCGCGGGGCGGGGAGCCGCGGGCGGTTTGAAGCGGCGGAGATGGCTACGAAGCGGCTGGCCAGGTGCGGGCCGCGGCACATACAACTGGGCCGGGCCGGGCCGGGCTGGCCGGGCTGTCCCGGCTGTCCCGGCCGCCCCGCCCCGGGCCGGAGCGGTCTCCTCTCGGCCCGGCGCTGAGGCCGCCCCGTCCCGCAGATCGCTGGGGATGGCGCGGAGCGGCCGGAGCGGCGGGGTGACGGAGCGGCGATCCGGATTCGGCTTCCTACTTGTCCTCGACTTCGAGTCCACGTGCTGGCTGGACGCACGGCAACGGCGCCCCGAGATCAGTGAGTGCTGCTCCAGGAGTGCCCGGCTGTGTGCGGGGTGCGATGTGCGTTTGTGTGTTTGCAGGGTGCGATGTGCGTTTGTGTGTTGCGGGGCGCCCGCGTGCCGCACTTGACACGGACGCGGTGTTTTCCTCCCGCCGCTCTCGCTGTGCTCCGTCCCAGTTGAGTTCCCGGCCGTGCTGCTGAACGCCGCCACGGGGCGGATCGAGGCCGAGTTCCACGCCTTCGTGCAGCCGCAGGAGCAGCCCGTGCTCTCCGAGTTCTGCACGGCGCTGACCGGCGTCACGCAGGTATCCCGCTGTGACTTACACCGTTCGGTGCTCCTTTAAAGGGCCGAAGGCAGCCAAACCTCCAGCGGATTGCAGTCTGTACTGACGCGGGTGTTTCTCTATCCGCTGCCCAAAGAAACAAGTTGACGAAGGAGTCCCTCTGCACATCTGCTTGTCACAATTCTTGAAGTGGCTTCAGGAGATACAGAAGGAGAAGAAATTTCTGTTCATCTCAGAAATCCCAAGTAATGCCATTCCAGAGACAAAGCTGTGTGCTTTTGTTACTTGGACAGGTAGGCAACGTTCCCTTTTGCTTATTGCACAAAGCAGAGCGCATTAAAAAGGAGTCCTTGGTGGGACTGTTATCTGTGCCTGCTTTGGGACTGTCCTGCATTGATGGCCATAAGGCAGCAGTGCTCACCGCCCCATCGCAGGGCTGCCACTGATTTGCAGGTGGCTGTGCACCGTCTTGCCCAGCTGTTGGTTTGTTTGCTTGTTTGGTAACCTCTGGCTTGTTCAGGTGAGAATAATGCCCAATTGGCAGAAGTTAGGATTAAAGAAACATTAATTCTTTGCTTGCTCTTGTCTTCCCTGTGCAGACTGGGACCTGGGCGTGTGCTTGCACTACGAATGTAAGAGGAAGCAGTTGCGAAAACCTGGCATCTTCAATTCCTGGATTGATCTCAAAGCGACGTACAGGGTGAGAAAATCCAGTAAGCTGGAACATAGGTCTGTGTTATAACCTCAGATGCTAATTGTATCACACCTACCAGGCAGCACTGTGTTCCAGTAATTAGAGTTACCCGACTTCTTTCATTCTGTGTTGTTGCACAAATAACAAACTGCATGCCTTATGACTGTAAATTTTAATAGAAATCATAATGCTAGGGAAATAATGTGTTGTTAGATAAATTACTGATAATCGTTGGAGAATTTTTGAGCTATTCTTCTTTTCCTAGCATCTTTTGCTTGCTTGCTGCCTGGACTTCCCTGTTTTTCCTACACTGCTCTTACTGTCTTACATTGCTACCTAGAAAGTAGTGGTCCTTGTCTGCTCAGCAGTTACATCAGGACGTAGTGTGGGAACTGTATTCTGACCAGAACAGTACTAGTACTGATCAGAGCAGTGCTAGTAACACTGAAAATGGATATCTACTGAGGAAATGAAAGATTGTTTTTATGGTGGTGGGTTTTTTCTTGGTTGGTTTTTCGGTCTACACACAAACAGGAGTTCTGTTGCAGCCAAGGAAACATTCAAAGGAGCGATCCAGGAGTTTGCCTGTCCCTGGTGCTGGAGCTCAGGCAGCAGATTTAGATCTCTAAAGTCAAACAACGTGATCAAGGGGAGAACCAGGGAGTCATATCTTTCCTTATTTAATATACTTGGCACGTGCATATTGCAAAGGCATAAGTTTAAAAATATATATATACAACAGTTTAAGCATCTCAAGATGTATTGTAATTGTATTCTTCAAGGCTGTTCTTTCTGTTAAGGCCTTTATTGAAGTAAGGCATGAAGTGCAAATGGATGATTGCTGAACAAAGGTAGAGTGGATTAGTTTAAGACTGGAAGAGGAAGGAATCGTTCTTTCCATTCTTATCTGCTGTTGGTAATGCACGTGCTTTTTTATGCTCACTTATCACAGTAGTAACATGAAGAAATCTGACTTGCACAATGGCAGTGGGAGATTTATTATTCCTTAGGTGATATTTTGGAAGTGCTTTTCACTCCACTGTGAACTGCTGCATCTTAACCAGCCGCATGTTTCTCCTTAGGCCTTCTATAACAGAAAACCTAAAGGGCTGAGTGGTGCTTTACAGGATTTGGGGCTGGCTTTTGTTGGACGGGAACATTCTGGTAAGCGTGATCTGATGAATCTCTCTCTGTATATGAATATATATAATATTATTTCCAGGTAGTCCAGACTGTAGCCTTCTGGTCAATAAAACCATCCAAGTAGAAACAGCTGAGAGGTCAGAGTTTGCCATTTTTATTCTCATGCTTAATTTTAGAATTCCCTCCCAGACCTTTTGTGTGTGTGTGCTCCACAATATCAAGTTCTGAGTTGCTTGGACATGAAAGGAAAAAGAAAGCGAGGAAGGGATAAGGAAACTTGATCTTACCTGACAGCTCATGAGTAGCTTATGAGTATGAAAGAATACAAACATAATATTTATTTTTAATTTTTGATATAGTTAATACGAAACAGGAAGGATTTTAACAGTTGTGGCTATATATTCAGCTACACGAGTTCTTAAGTGTATGTACATGTTACTTTTCCTAGTGTACGGAAATGTTACTTGTCCTCTAATAAGAACTGTCAGCAGTAGTAGATTAAAAGGAAGATATCAATATATAACCATACTTTTGAAGGGTTGGATGATTCTCGGAATACTGCTCGTCTTGCTTGGAGGCTGATTTGTGATGGGTGTGTGCTGAAGATTACTAAATCTTTGGATAAGGTTGGTCACTATTTCATATCTTTCCTCTACTAGTCTTGTAGCCTGAAATACAGGTGAAGGGTGAATCTTGAGTATGAACTGAACAGAATACCCTTAGGCTGACACTCTTGTTAGTTTTGTGCAGTGATTCCTAAAGCTTCTGGGTATTTACTTTCCAAAATCTCTTTTTGTTAATGGACTCCTAGTCCTGTCCTAGGAAGAACTTAATTTCCAGAACGCTGAATACCAACTCTGCTGACAAGACTCTGCCAGGAAGTAGCAGCAGCCTTGAAACATCCAGAGATAGATCTTGCAAGGCAAGCTCTCTGGCAGAGAGAAACCACAATGGTACTGCTGGAATTATGGTAAATTCCCGTGTACAATCTGCAGAACGGGCCACTTGCAGTGATTGCACCCCAGACATGCATGTTGTATCTGGCAGCAGGTCAAGGACTGATTTCCATGAGGAAGTCCGAAGCTCTTCCACAGTATCTGCTGACAGATTTCCTCTTCTTGGACACGCACAGCAATCTCACAGTACTTTGTCACCAGGCATTCAGCAAGGATTGAACAGCGGGCATCTCATGAGCGCAGCAAGGTACAGCTCTCCAGTGTGTGGGTCAGGACTAGTACTTGTCTCCACCACCATCTCCTCAGTTAATACCTCCAGTGAGGATACAGGCACTCATTCTGATTGCTTGTCTCTGCTAGCTGACTGGGAAGATGTAGCTCTAATACCTAAATCTCAGTCTGAACCAAATTCAGACTGCGTTCAATCTGAGGAGGACTCAAGTACAGACATCTTAACTGTGTCTGAAGAAAAAACAATTCCAAAGCAATCGGCTGAGATCAGTTCAGGTGATCAAAGTTTGGGGAAAACTCTGGTACCCACAGGACCTCCTGGATCTATCGTTTACAAAAGTCCTGATACTACTATCTATAATGTAGGAATGGTACAAAGGCAGACTTCAAATCTTTCTGCCTTTAAGATCCCATCTGCAAAGGTAAATGCTATTTCTTCCCAATCAGTATTAATGAGAAATTATTCTGTTCCTTCTGAGGTTCCCAAAAGAAAGCCAACCAGTCCAGCAGCACTCCCACCAGCAAAAAAACAGTCTTTTGCTATCTATCAAGAGAAAACTGTGTCTTCAGATCATGCCTTACCTTTGAGAAATTTGAATTCGTCC